CACACACACACACACACACACACACACACACACACACACACAGAAAGAAGCCATAATGTTACCATCATGACATCAACAGGTGAGGGAGCCAATCAGTGACCTCACAGTGGGTGGGGCAGCAGGTAACGTGAGCATTCAGACTCATACAGGTGCTGTGGATACGACGCGGCCACACACAGAGCAGCTTCACTTTCAGCCACGTGGAGTCGACTACATGCTTTTATATTTTGTGTTTGTCGCTCTGTCAGTCAGGTTAGTCCTCATGTGACAAACGACTCGGGCGGCCTTAAGCTCTTCAGAGACCTGCAGGTCTGGACCTTAAACCTTATTTTATTCTATCACCAGCTCAAACACTTTGTATGACTGATCTGCTGCTCCCAGACTTATTTCTCCTTCAGGTGACTGGACTGAATTTTCCTTCATTCAGCAGACTTGCTCACGCGTACCTGATTCGCTCTGTCTGGGCGGAGTCACGGATGGCGCGGCCTCTGTCGGCTCGACGTCTCGCGGCTCTGCAGCTTGCTGATTGGCTGTTTCAGGCGTGATGGTTTCTTCAGTTTTTAACACTTAAAGTTTACAGGATAAAAAGAGGAATGACTGAAGTAAGATTAAAACATGCTCAGTGTAAACATCATGTGTGACAGGTAAAAGCAGACAGTGATTATATTCTGAACACCCGTCAGAAGTCCAACATCCTCCTCCATCCTTTCAAATCCAGGTTAGAATCCAGGTAAGGAAGCCGCTGAGCATCACAAACGGCAGGACTATGATGTTTAGGAGCAAGTCAGGTTCTATTTAGTCAAGCATTAAATAGACGCGTTTCCGCTTATCAGGGTTGCTGGAGCTTATCGCAGCTGTCATAGGGCGAGAGGCGGGTACATCCTGGACAGCTCGCCAGTCTGTCGCAGGGCCGACACACAGAGGCAGGACAGCACAGAACTGAGCGTCACCAAAAACACCGGAAGCAGATTTATTTATCCATTAAACTCATTTACTGGTTTTAGAGGTACTTTTGTAAATTAATGTTTAACGTCTGTCCAAATGAACTAAGCCATAAACAGCATGCATGTATTATAGTAAAGAGTTATCTACTGAAGTTGAACTAGTGCCAGGCTGTACTTCCATGTAATACCAGTTTGTACCACAAGATGGAGCAAAAAGGTGAAAAACGTTGAAAACTAAGTTGAACAATGTGTTTTTAAAGGAAAAACAAGATGCTTTCTGACTTCCATTTTGATACAATTTAACTCTGTACAATTTTTAATTCTCCCAGATTTATAAAAATTGTTACGTTTGAAGTTTTTTCCGACTTTGAAGTGGAGAAAAAATAAGAAATAGCAGAAGTGTCTGTTTGTCCTGTCTTCCGGTCTGCACAGGAAACCGTTTTTGTTCCATGCAAGTGTGAAATCAGCTTCATCCTGTTTGCGCCTTTCACAATAAAAGCCTCTATCTCCACATAAGCTGTTTTAGGAAAGTGTTTATCACGGCGTCTGAGATAAACATTTGACTTCAGAAACATATTTATTGCCAGTCATGAATTTGGCCCGTACGGGGGTCAAACCTGTGACCTTGGCGTTATTAGCACCACGCTCTAACCTGCTGAGCTAACCGGCCACAGCAGTGTAGAGCTGACAAGACAAAATGACTTAAACCGAATCACTCAGACTCTAATGGCTGTAAATACTAGAAACCTATTAAACAAAAATACAAAAAGCACTGCACTGGCTGTAAAAAAAAAAGGCATAATTATTCATTAAATAGTGTGGTAAAATAATTAAAGATAAACTTATACAAAGTGTGGCTTTCATTCAATATTTCCTTCAAAATTTCTGCATTTAAGGAACCAAAAACCAAAACGAGAGCATCTAAGTGCAAAAGTTAGATTAAAGATCTAGCAGACTGGTTGTACTGGGCAGCTCCCAGTGTGGAGGAGCTCCAGGGTGGAACTGATATAGAACTTCAGTGTGAAGCCGGTCAGGCTTTGTTGGCAGGACACGGAGACGCTCGCAGGTCCAAATCCACAGGTGGGAATCAGGTCAGCTCCCAGGAGGTTTTCTCAGGTATCAGAAGAGAGTCAGCAGAGCCAGAGGGTGTGTGTGTGTGTGTGTGTGTGTGTGTGTGTGTGTGTGTGTGTGTGTGTGTGTGTGTGTGTGTGTGTGTGTAAACTTACCTGTTTGCTTCTCAGGTTTGTCTCCTACATGCAGCCTCTTTGCTTCTTTCAGTCCTGTTCAGTGTTCAGGATATAAATGTTTTAAAGACCACGCCAAGTTATTTACAGCTTTTTATTTGACAATTAAACGTAAAGCGAGCTCTCGTAAAACAGCGCCTTTCTTTCCAGATCTGATGAAATGTTAAATAACTGTTTACAAATCAGCTTTAAAGACTCGTTTAGACCATAATAAGCTTTTAAAAATCTCTGTATTTCTGATTTAAGGCCAACAATGAGGGACGACTGGTGTGAAAAAGTAGATATGTACACATGGGAAACTTAAGGAAAAATGGTTCTCGTCCCTTTGAGAGTAGCATACATAAAAACCAGACTGCAGCACTCAGAGAAGAAGATGGGACATAGCAGAAGGAGGAAGCTCTGAATTGTGTGAACTTTATATAAACCTGATTTGGTTTACAGCCAAGTGTGACAGTGCCTTTAAAAACAAAAAGCGGGGTTTCGTTTTTAAGACGTTTAACCGACAGCAGCAGGACGCTCGGGAGCGCCAGCACCCCGATAATCTTCCTGTGGAAGGAAATCTGAGCTGATAGGATCGAAGCAGCAAGCACAAGGTGAGCACAGAAGGAAGCAGTGGTGGCTCGAGATAGCACTGAGCAGAGGAAGAGGGATTCTGCCCTTGTTGTTAATGCTCAACAGGCTTTGCTGTTGGACTGTTGGGGATGTTTGCATGTATTTTGGTTATGGAAAAAAAACCCTCTCTGCACCAAGCAGAGACCTCCAGGGTCTGCAAGGCTTCACCTCAGCTAATCGAAGACCCTGAAGTGGACTTTTGGACCATGTTGATGCTCTTGGAGCCTTTTAATGACGCTACCTGACCAATAACATGCTGTGCTGCAGTGAGGTTATTGTACTAACAGACCATCCAAGAAGTCTGAGCTCCAGCTTTGATGAAAGAAATAAGTGTGATGCTTCCACAAATTCTCTGGATGCACTTGATAACCCGACTCCAGCCTCCTGCCCAACCTGAGACCACCTCCACTGCCTTTAAATAGCACATACACCTGCTCTGTGTATGGACTGAACCCATAACATTGCCATTACTAGCACCACGCTCTATCCCACAGAGCTAACAATAGCTTACACAAAAGAGGCTTTAACCAACAGGAAAGGAAGCACAGAGAACAAGTAAAAGCTCTCCACTTTGCCTATATGGGAGTCAAACCTGTGACCTTGTCAGAGTCAGACCTATTTGTCCAGCTCACCTCCATGTTGTTTTTTTGGTGCTGGAAGGAGACACAGCTTCACAGAAGCATCAGTAGGTTGGTTAGCAAGATGCTAACATGTTCATCCGTAACAACACAAACCTAGTCGGCATAAAAGACATGAAACTTTGGCCCGTACGGGGGTCGACCCCGTGACCTCGGCGTTATTAGCACCACGCTCTAACCAGCTGAGCTAACCGGCCACCCCGCAAAGCAGCAATGAAATGAAATGTGACATTTGTTTGTTTCGTTATTCATAATCAAGCAAGTGAGAATAAGTCAAACAGCTTGCTTTCTACTGCCGTTAAACAGAGAGAGGTAATGAAACAAACGGGGTTTAAAAAAATTACACGACTCTTTGTGTCTCTAAAAATGAACTCATATTGTAGCTTTTTCATTTTTATTAAACCACGAGAAAGAAATCATCTTAATGTGATGAGCCGGATTTATTCAGCAAACATTTTCTCACATTTTGGAGGAAAAACAAAATAATTTCAGAGACTGTGAAAGTTTCTTTATTCAGCTCACGACACGTGACTTCCTGATGCTTCGTCACTACACAACAGTTATTACAGGTTATTTTAAAAGCCGGTGTCCTCGAACATCCTTCACCACTTAGATCCACTACATGACTTTGAACTAAAGCTCAACACTTACAATTCAGACGCCTTATACTGGCTCTCATCCTTTGAGCAAAAAACATGATAAGAAAAACCATAAATGTCACATCATCAGCCAAAGTCTCATAAAAATGAGAAAAACAAAGACAACATAAATCTCATGAAACTGGCCTTTTGAAAATCGGCCTGTTTGAAGAGGTCTGCAGCACTGAAAGAGCAGCAGTAACACAAGGGAAACAATCTGTGGGCCACATCTGTAGATTAATGGTGAATTTGCCCTGAAGCCACGCTACTGCTTTCTGTGCATCAAATACAGTCATGTGTGAGTGGTTTGGCTTGAAATACTAATTTCTAGTTCACCACAGTTCCAGCTGTGTGGTGTCTGTATCACAGTTAAGACTGAAGACTCTGGTTTGAGCCCTTAATGAAGGTGTAATGTCCTGTAACTTTGTGAATGAGCAACAGAAGCAGAACACGTTGGAGGGAAAACATTTTAAACCTCTGTTGGGGATAAAACTTGAAGAGGGGTTTTTAATCAGATTGTCCGTTTGTATTTATTTAATTTACAAAGGAGACTCAAAACAACTGCCTGGATTGCAAAGTGTGTTCAGACTTGTGTTCAGCATCGTCTTTGCTGGGTGGTTACAAGACCTTCAAACCCCACCGAGTAGCTTTTCATCCGTTTCCCGAATATGGGAGGTGAGGCCGGCAAATCAGAGCCATGACCATTTGTGAGGTCATCACTTTGTGCCGTGAGGCATTTTCTTCTTCTCTTCTAAGACGCTCTTCTCTCTCCTGACCGCCGTCATGGTCACTCTCTCAGTTATCTCACCTTTCACCTGCGAACTGTTCAGCTTCCTCTCCGGTAGCACTCGTCTCTTTAAGCCATTTCCTTGTCTCACCACGCCCTCTTTCGCCAGCCGCTCCACCTCCATCTTCTCCTTTTCAGTTTTCTCCCGCTCTAGCTTCATCTTCGCTGCCCTCTCCAGTCTTTCCCGTTCCATCCTCTCCCTCTCGTTTCTCTCTGTCGTTTCTTTTTCTACTCTTTCTCGCTCTAATTTCTCCTTATCCTGTGCGATTCTTGCCCTTTCTTTGGCTAAGCGCTCCTTCTCTATCCTTTCCTTGTCTATCTTTTCTCTGGCGAGTCTGTCTCTTTCCTTAACAAGCCGTTCCCTTTCCAGTCTTTCTTTTTCTGCTTTCTCCTTGGCGATCTTCTCTTTCTCAAGTCGTTCCTTTTCTTTGGCGATCCTTTGTCTCTCCAATCTTTCCTTCTCCGCCTTCTCCTTCGCAATCCTTTCTTTTTCCAATCTTTCCTTCTCCTTGGCGATCCGTTCCCTCTCCAATCTTTCCCTTTCTGCCTTCTCTTTGGCGATCCTTTCTTTCTCTAGTCTTTCCTTGGCGATCCTTTCTTTCTCTAGTCTTTCCTT